CAGGTCGTAGCTGTCTAGTAGCACAGCAGCTTCCAGCTCCTGCTGTTTGTTTCCCATGCTGCTTGCATTCGTGTAGAGGCATTTCATCTGGGCTGTTGGCCGTGTCACCTTAGTGGCACACCCCTTGTTTCCCTTGGGGTGTTTCACGAAGGTTTCCTTGTGAGCTCTAACTATCTCAGGAGCCCCCGGCTCATCTCTGCCAGACTTCAACTGTGCTGCAGTGTCCCCATCATGCCTCCGCGCAATAGGTTGAGGGCTCACAGTAGCACCCCATCCCTCTAACCATTGCGTACCATCCCACAGCTTGTCACAGGCAAGCCTGAAGTGTTCCCCCTCCCCCTTCACATCTAGTTTAAAGCCCTGTCAATGAGCCCCGCAAGCTCCTGGTCAAACACCCTCTTTCCCCTTTGAGAAAGGTGGCTGCCATTTGATGCCAGCAAGCCTGGTGCCATGTAGGCCGTCCCATTGTCAAAGAACCCAAAGTTGTGACGGTGGCACCAGCCTCGGAGCCATGTGTTAAGAGATTGGATCCGCCTGTTCCTACCAATGTCACCTCCCACAGCTGGAAGGAGGGAGGAAAAGATGACCTGTGCCCCCGATTCCCTCACTAAGCGTCCCAAGGCCCTGAAGTCTCTTTTAATCACCCTTGGGCTGTGTACTGCAACTTCGTCACCACCCACGTGGAAGAGCTCTTCCCCCCCCACACCCTTTTTAACCATTGTGTGATACTAATTCCTAAGCTCTCTACAGATATATGTGAAAAATAACTACATTGCCTGAGATGAACTGTAGGTCTAAATAGGCACTTAAGTATGGTCCTCCTGGGTTAATTTCAAAGGTTTTTCTTATGTAATCCATGAACATTTTTCAAGTGAGATTTGTTGGACATGTGCTGGCAACTTTGATTTGGACAGATGTGCCTTATGCAGTTCAGTTGTCACAGTTCAGTTCTGAGTGGATAAAGTCTGCTGTGCTACAATCTCTTCCACAGCCACATGCCACCAGTTGGCAGCCTTGTTGGTAGCCTCAGGAGATGAAAAACCTTGAATGCACATAAATAGCGCTCTCTACTTTTTTCTAGATCAGGTCAAGATAAAGGTATGCGGAAATGGGGCTGTGTGGGGAACAAAGTGAGGGGAAAATTACAGAGGGATTCTGTCAGGTTTTATGACTAAAACAAGGACTTTAGTCTACTATTTGACTCTCTGACTCATTTTCCTAGTTCTAAACATACTCATAATCTCTCCTTCCTTGCACTTTTCCCCTCTAATCCCTTCTTGTACAGTGCCTATCTCCATGTCTCATTTGTTTGCTATGGGTAACCAATAGCAATTTCTATGACAGCAGCAGACATGTTTTGTAAATGAACGATCATTATTCTTTAAAACACTGAGGTTTTTTTCTGGAAAGTTGCTTTATGCCATTTCATTGTATTGTGAAACAATGGCTCTTGTTTACAGAATTCTGTCTGTACTTTCAGATTACTCCGTTTCATGCCTCTTTGGTGCTGTTCATTGGCAAAGCCTCAGGTGCAGTTACTGATCCTGTTGCTGGCTTTTTTATTAGCAAAAGTAGATGGACAAGAATTGGCCGGCTCATGCCTTGGTAAGCATAAATGTGTACATATATCTACATACATATATATATATATATATGAATATTGTGTGTGTGTGTTGTGATCATACAGTCACCTCATTGAATTAGACTCATTTTTCTTTGCCTGTTTCCCAGACAACAGTGATTGTATTCATTCTATATATATAAAATCAAAAAGAAAAAGTTTCATGTCATCTATTTCCCTTTAACTTGTTCACCCATGAAAACACAGAAGAGATTTTCTACCATTGGAGACACAAACAAATAAAGTCAAGACATTGCGTTGTTAAAAAAACCTGGAAGCTCAGATCTAAAACTGTTTTGAATCTGTGGTTGAATTTTCATCTTTGTCTAGATTCCTTTAGTTTGGCTTCATTCCTCCGCAAAGTTGGAACTTGTTTGTACTTGTGTCCAGGTGTGCCTTCACTTCTCACATGAGCCTTCCAGGAGCTCCGTTAACTTTATTTCTCTAAGCCTTTCAATTCAGTAAAGGATGTGTGCACACACGGAACAGATGTGACACCGCAGCATTGAAGGGCTCAGCAACCAGCACTGCCCTGACACTCTGTTACATTCTTCCTTACAGCAGTCATTCTGGTCCTGCTTCTCTTACATCCCCGTAATCAAAATACTTCATTAAAAAAATCACCATGACTTTTATAATGAATGAGATGCTGTAAGATTTTGATCAGCATTTCTTAAGGGACAGTGTGATGCTTCACAGTGACACACTTACTCCTTGTATGCACTCTAGCTAGTACACTTGTAGATGTGCTGTCCATGTGCTGCTATAAGGAGAGGTTAGAAGAATGAATGTTACTCGTATAGGAAGGAGATTGACAGGTGTGAAGCAAGAAAATTGGAAAGGATTGGTCCATGTTAGAGGAACCCAAGCTCACCTATGCCATAGGGCATTTATTTGTTGGGGTTTTTATATTTTGGACATCAAAGGAAGACTGAGTAGTTTGGGTAATAGGGAGTCTTTCATCACTGCTCTATCTCATGCATTATAAGAATGTATTGTAAGATATTTTGAATTAATTATGAATTTTGAATTAATATAACCCCCAAACTTGATTCACAACAAAAATCTAAGAGTAAATCTGGTGTCCTGAGCAAAGAAGTTGAATTTTCGTGGAAAATAAGCCCAGTTTTTTAGCTGGTGGTTCTCTTGCTGCCATGTGGTTCTAGGGCTACAGAAACTTGTCCGTGGGCAGCTTATATCTGACAAAGAAAAGAAGGCAAGTACGTATTGGAAGAAGGCTGGCTGAGGTCAGCTGCTCTAGGCCCCAGCAGGAACAGGGCCTTCAGGTCAAAGTTAAGCTTTTTGTCAAGAGTCCCATGGGAAAAGAGGAGCTTGCTGCTGTTCATCTTTTCAGGATTTGGTTTGTTGCCAGGTAAATGGAGTGCTTTTTAATGAGCACTGAATTAACCAAGTAACAAAGTTATTCAAAAAGAAAATAATGACATTTTTATACAAATGCCATTAGATGTATTCTGATGCCTTTTTTTTTTCAGTTCTCTGAAAATACTGCAAATACTTGTGTTTAGTGTTAGTGTTAATTGATGTTAGAATAAGTCCCATCCTAGCACAAGCATGAACTTATCAGCCCTATGCACTGTAAACCAACTACTGTACAACTTGCACTTCTTACAGGAAAACTGTTTATCTAACCTGGCCTTTAATATGTGTTCATCAAACAGTTGCTTTCTTTCCAGAAGGATTTTATCTGTTTTTTTGTAATGGTAATTTTTCTCATGGGATTTTTGTTCCTACACTTTGGAGGCCAGACCATCTTTATACAAAGCAAAAAATGGGTCTTCCATTAGCTTAAAAATCCTTTAGTATTTTAAAATTACTCAGACTTCTTAAGTATCTAGAATGAAGCAATGGAATTGGCTCGGTCAGAAAAGCTGACCAGCAAAGCAAGAACATTAGTAAAGAAGGTGAATGTTTAATTATAGCTTAATACTGTACTCCATATAATAAGAAGTCATCAATCACTATTGATCTCTTTTATGTAATGTGTTTAAAGGGCATAAGCAGACATTGACTTGAAATACACAAACCTGGTCAAATATTTTGTCAAAGGAGTTAATAGTAGATAATCAGATACTCAGCAGCTTCAGCGAGGCTCTGAAAACTCACTGACATTAATGAAGAAAGGAAAATGTGGAAAGAAGATGGAAGGGGGGAAGAATACTAAGAGGGTTATTGCTGGAAAGCTGCATGAAAAATTGACTATGAAAATATTTTACTGTGGTGACTTTGTCTGGACACCAGTCTTGGAAGAGCTCACACTTTTGGAGAGGAAGCTAGATTCCCTGAGATATGTCAGGATTTTACCCCTATTTGTGTTTTCCATTGCTGACCAGCTGTGGATGAACTGTGACCTGGGGACTGGAGGGACAGAGAATACCAGAACCTGGCACTTTCCTTGTAAATGCTCAGCTTCCAGTGATGCTGTCCATCCCGAAGAGCAGTGTGGGAAAGCCATTGTTTTACTAAACTATTTACCCACATTACTCTTTTGTATTGCAGGTTTTCAGTTCACGATTGCAAAATAATCAGCTGACCCCCAATGTCAGTAGTGCTGTTGTGAAGGGATTAGTCTGTTTTCTCTTCTACGTGTTTGGATATTTTTGTTGGGATCTTGGTCATCTAATTACATTGTTTAATGTCTGATTTACAAGAATACAGGAGAGCCCTGATGCTGCTGCAGCTCAGACTTTTAGGAAGTAATAGCATCTGACCACTTCTTCCATATCACAGAGTTTGACAAGTGTTGTTTGCCTGAAATAATTTTTAGACTAATGTAATTAATTGCTGGTTAATAGCAATGTCTGGAATTTAAGTTTCTTTGGTTCTTTTTTTTTAAGCTACCTTCCTCACCAGAAGATGATCCTTTTGTGTTTGAAGTGATTAGGAGTTTTGCCGTTGAGTTAAATGGAGCAAATTATCATATACCCAAGTAGACACAGACTGTAGGAACTTTTGCAGTGGGCTGTCCATTATCTTTTATGCTGTTTTCAGCATTTTTAAGTGTATCAATGTATTTGCACTTGCTTGAAGTAGCAATGAAGAGGCTAAATTGAGAAGAAGACTGAAGGCATTAAAATTGGAAGAGAGAATCCTTGGTAATAAATAGGGTCATGAAAAATTGCTGAAGTATGCGAAGATGTGACAATAGAGCTTAGTTTTCAGTGGTTCTTTCTAATAAATGTGTGGTCTGAGACATGTACTAAGGAATGGCAATATAGTTATGCTGTTACAGTGCATGTGCAAGGAAATTGTGTCTGTTCTGAGTGGGATATTAAGTATAGCTCTTTTCCTTAGATTTGCTGGGTTTTTTCCATTTTATGGAAGTATTTGTATACATTTTATGTTAATCTGTGCATTTAATGTATGCTAACATTTAATACTTAAAACCATGGCATTACTGTAGTTAGAAAAACAGCACATAAAAAGTGCATTTTATTGATATATTAGCAGGAAAATTTAATGTGCTTTGCTATCATTATACTAAGATTGTTGACATGTGTTAATCTTCTTTGCAGGATGTTGGCATGTACACCGTTCACAGTAGCGTCCTATTTTTTTATGTGGTACCTGCCTCCTTTTGTATGGGGAAGAGTTGGATGGTACCTGACTTTCTACAGCCTTTTCCAAGCACTGGCCACAGTAAGTAGGTTACAGGTCATGATGTTCTCAGCAGTAACTTGCTTGTTTTCTGTCTATGTTAATGCATTCAGATTTAGTAAACTGAGATGTAACAAAACTTCACATTTGATTTCAACTTCTAGTGAGTTTAAGGGATAGGCAGATGTCCTTTTATCAAACTCTCTGCTGGTTGATGGTTTCTGCCAATGCTTTCTCTGGCAAATGACCTGCTAATTCAGACAGATTACCTCCAGTCACTTTCATTGGCAGTGCCCTAGATGCTCAACTCATTCTTGTATAGATCCACAGAGACATTCAGATTCCTATTTCCAGTTAGACATCTAACTTCCCATAAGTTCTATTTTCAGGAGCAGATTAGGAGACCAAGTAGGTTTATGGCTCTAGTTCTGGGTGCTTTGACTCAAGCTAGAAGGCAATGAAAAGTCAGGGTACCAGAGCTGAGTACTGATAGTAGTCATCATGATATTTATGCCAGGATAGAAGAGTTTGAGCACAGGAATTTTTTAATACAGCCCAGAACTTGCAATATTTATGCAGAAGCCATCATTTCAGTGGATCCCAAAGAACTTCTCTGACACGTTCCATACTGTACATGTGAGGGTTGCATCACCCTGTTTTGCCTTGTAGTCAATATCAAGGTGAAACAAGGTATCTTCCATGCAAAGCAGTACCACACAGCAGATTATGGCTGGAAGTGAGACAGCTGCATTGCAATTTGGCAGGGTCTGTCCTGGCTGATAGAATTTCACTGGATCACATTTTGAAAAAGTGGTTCCCAGACATTTAAAATGTTTGTATTTCTTGTTTGACTTTGGCTTTTTTCCTGTTTACAGGTCTGTTGGACCTGTGAATTCTGTCTTCCTGTGTTAAACTGGAATGTTTCCCTAGGTCCTTTGTTTCCTGTTGAGAAAGATGGTCCAGAAGACATTCATAATGGCTTAAAATAATTTTCTTCTTTCTCTCTTTTGAAGAAAAAACACAGATTTTCTGTGGCAGATCTTTGAAAACCTATATACTTGTCATGTTTGATGGAAGTGAACAGAAATGCATTTTGTATGAACAGAGTAGGATGCGGATTGTGAGACTTAGTTTGCCTGGCTACAGAACTTGATTGTTCAAGCAAGTTCATGTCCCTCTTCCACTTCACGATAGTCTGAGAGTTTGGCCTGTATGTTGTTACAAGATTTTAGCAGTTGTGCTGGTTTTGGCTGCAATAGAGTTAGTTTTCTTCACAGTAGCTAGTAAGGGGCTGTGGTTTGGATTTGTGCTGGAAACAGTGTTGATCACACAGGGACGTTTTTGTTATTGCTGAGCAGTGCTTGCACAGAGTCAAGGCCTTTTCTGCCTCTCACCCCACCCCACCAGCGAGCAGGCTGGGGGTGCACAAGAAGCTGAGAGGGGACACAGCTGGGACAGCTGACCCCAACTGACCCAAGGGATATTCCACACCATATGACATCATGCTCAATGTATAAAGCTGGGGGAAGGAGAAGGAATAGGGGGATGTTTGGAGTGATGGCGTTTGTCTTCCCAAGTAACCATTACACGTGATGGAGCCCTGCTTTCCTGGAGATGGCTGAACACCTGCCTGCCGATGGGAAGTAGTGAATGAATCCCTTGTTTTGCTTTGCTTGCGTATGCGGCTTATGCTTTCCCTATTAAATGGTCTTTATCTCACCCCACGAGTTTTCTCACTTTTACCCTTCCTATTCACTCCCCCATCCCACTGTGGGGGGAGTGAGCAAGCAGCTGTGTGGGGCTTAGTTGCCAGCTGGGGTTAAACCACAGCAGAAGTGATTTTTATTTTAGTTCAGCACTATGAGGATAGGGTCCCACTCACGTCATGACTATCCAAAAGGTGAAGCCTTTAATGTTCAGTAGTTATTTTCAATGATATGCTACTGGAGATAAGGCCTCTCCTACAGTAAAAGTGGGGCTCATTTACCCAGCATTGCAATAAATATTACCAGTGCATTGTTTCCACCAAGATTTTACAGCAAGATATCAATTGCATGCTAGATACAGTGCTGTAAAAACAAACAAGGAATACTCCTCATCTACCTTTTTGTCAGTGCATGGACATAGCAATCGGGTGTTTCTACCTATTCTTAACTCAAATTAAGGAGTGTGTGGCAAAATGGTGCTGACAACAAAGTATTTTTCACAATTATTTCCTGGAATTACATAGTGAGACAGATATTTTAAATATTTTGGGGATTTATACAGTCTTCTGGTTTGAATAAAGTGGAAAATTGTATTTTCTTCATTATGGCTTTGCTTCCTGTTAGTTAGCTTAAGCTAGAAACATGATAGTCTCCTCGTGCAAAGAAAACTAGATGCTTTATAGCCTAGCTATGAAGGACGTTTTCCCAAGGAAGCTGAAGGAACACAGCATTAAGGTAAAGTCTCTTGGTAATTCATTATTTATTATTTGTATTATGAAAGATACTTTTTTCCTCTTATATGCTTTACAAATCAGAAAGAAAAGACAGGTCTTTGTGCTAAAAAATACAGTGTTCTAAATAAGTGAATTCCAAGGTTGCACTAAAACATTTTCCTGGATATCAGAGGAATACAGCATTTACCCTGACATTTCCTAAGTGATGTTCTTTCTTTGCATAGTTATTCCAAGTACCATATTCTGCCCTCACCATGTTTCTCAGCACAGACCAGAAGGAGAGAGATTCTGCAACGGCATACCGTGAGTGTGATCTGGGCTTTCTCATGTGGATTAGGGCTGAGTTTTATTTAAAATCATTCTCTATCTATAGGAAGTTCCTAATGGTTTGTGTCCCCAAACTGGACTTTTATATGAGATTTCTAATATCTGATGAAAAATATTTTGTCTTGTAAATGCTTCCATTTTTCTAGCTAAATAGGAGACATTAATGCTTTATTGTTTCAAATTGTCTGATTAGCTATAAACTCTTTTCAGTTTATTGCTAGCCAGACAAAGCAATAACAAACACGCTTACCCAAGCCAGGACAGGGAATAATGATTTAATTTAAAGGCGATTTGTAGGGGAGAAAACAAAGTGCTGGTCTTCTTTAACATTCAATTAAAGAAAGCCTGAAAAATTAAATAAAGCCTGAAAGTAATTTTGAGTATTTTCTTTTTTTTTTTTTTTTTTTTTTTTGGATTTCCTTAGGTTTGTGTTTCATGTTATAAATTAAAATCTCCAAGCTGTTTTCTCTGAAAAAATTTCTAGAACTCATGGAACCAAGACAGTTAACCCCACCAAAAAAGAAGAGTAATTTGTGTGCATGTTCACAGCAACTGAAATGTCTCTTTTTATTTCATCTGTGTTTGTTTAATTTTAACATATACCAGGTAGTTTAGGGATGGATCTTGCTGTAATATAACTAGCACTCTGACTGTATTAGTTAAAAGAATGAGGGCTTCCAGACCATATCTCTGGCTCTTTAACAACCAAAACCAGACAAAGTTTTTGCTTTGAAGCAAATCGATCAGACCAAGAAAGTGGTAAGAACGTTAGAACAGTTTCTTTCCTTCCTACTCTCTTCAGCTCTGTTCTCATGCCTTCTTTATTACTTAACTGCTGTCTCTCACAGCCACCAGCATTAAGCAAGGTAAAGAGAAGAGTGTGTTCAAATGTCACATGAAAGACTTTTCTGTGTCTTAACTTGTCCTTCAGTGTTGCTTTAGAGTAACTTGTAATTTTTTTGTTGCAACTGTTTTCTCTTCCTGGCAAGAGCCCTTTTCTCTTCCATTAGCCCTTCTAACCCTCAACAAACTTGCTTGAGTATGTTGAAAACTAGACCATAGAGGCACAACGAAATGGCCAGAAGTGCTAAAAAAATCATGTCAGAAATTCTGGATACAATACCCCCTGAGCAACCCAATCCCTTTCCGGCCACATGGAACAGTTGTAATTTGCATTATCATCAACTATCTCAAGAGAAAGTCTGGGCTAGCAGTCATAGGACAGGACTAAACAGCAGGAGATTCCAGTTGTGTTATATTCTTTGGCACTGACTGTATTCTGAGTCATCTGGCCTAAATTCTAACTAAATCCGTGTACCTAGTGTTTTCTATTGTCTGGTTTTATGTCTTCAGAGGCTGTGATCCAAATAAATGTGCTTTCCTATCTGCTAGTCCCATGCAAGGCTTCACAGGCCTGTGAAATTTGTGCTCATAAAAGCTGTTGAACTCCATGGCTGAGAGGTGTTATACATTTATAGTGTCATTTTATTTTTCAGAAAGGGTTTAACTTTCGAGTGTACAGCTGTTCTCCTAAGCCAAGTTAGGGTGGTGGAATGAACCATAGTTTTGACTTTTCAAATGTTGATACTTTTGTATATTTTGAAATTATGTTTGTTTGGAGCCAACTTTTCTTGTAATGGTTATGATTATGTGAGAATCTTTTTTTTTTCTCTTTATTTTTAACAAGTGTTTTACTTAAACACTTTTGCCTCTCTTTAGGTTTCATAGAGAATTCTTCTTATTGATAGACTTTCTTGGATGCAGTTGGTTGTTCAGGCATTTCTTCAACTGTTTAAAGAAAACCAGCTGTGTAATATGAAGTGTGCTTTTAAAAAAAAGGCTGGGATCAGAGGATCAATTACCCTCTACTGGAGAGAAGCAGAACTGCTTATTATAAATTTTGTCCTGCTCCTTACTATAAATGCATGGTAGAATACTGGATTCCAAAGTTGCTTTAACATAAATTCTACTTACATTCTGGGCAAAATATAACTTACTTCAAGGACAATCTGCTTTCTGAAAGATCAGCTTTCCCAGCTAAGGTGGAAAGTAATAAGTCATAAATTCTGAGCACACAAGAACTTTGAAACCTCTCTGTTTCTCAGCTCTTGCTGCTATTTAGAAAATTAGGTTTCACAAAGGTGGTATTTCTGTTCCCTATAATGATGCCTATAATGATGCTTAATTCTATGCAAGTGCTTGGCAAAATACAGAGGTAGAGACCTAGATAAAGGTTATAAATGTGTAGGTGGTGTTTTGAATGAAAAGTGTGCTTCAGGTGCATTGGCTTTGCACTGAGTAGTCAACAGTTTGGAAGCTCTGCAAGGCCCATCTGAGACTAATTTGTGGCCAAACACTTCAGATAAGGTTAAGGTTAGGATTTCCACCATCTGCCAGCATTTTGGTGTGTATGGACTGAATCATAACATTGCTAGTAAGATTGGATCTGAAGTTTGGGGAAGATTTTTTTTACCCCCCATTGGTTTAAATTAATGTTACGTGAAGCCTCAAATTTTCCATTCAGAAGCATTCTCTGTTTGGGAATGTACTAACAATGGTGTAAATGATCCAAGTCTTCTAGAGACCCTCTCTTTTCTTTTCCTTACTTGATCTTCCATAGCTACATACGGACGTCATTACTGCAGTGTCTGAACACCTTGCAGTCTGTGTGCATTGCCTTCCCGTTAGGTGGAGAAGTACTTTTATCCCTTTACAAGGATACACAAAAAGGCGTATGTTCAAGGTCACCTAGGAAGGCTGTTACAGAGCAGAGAACTTGAATAAACCTGAACCTAGGAGCTTTTGAAACACATCTCACTTCCCAGCAGAGTATGATAACCACCAGGACACAACCCCCTCTGGAAGCAGCCCTTCAAAACCCAACATGGTGCTTCTGAGAAAGGAACATGGGACTCCTGGGGCCACTGAGAGAGAATAAGTAGAAAAAAAAGCCTGATTTTTAGGTCAATGAGAAGAGCATTCCCTCATAAACAGGGAGTCTTGGTCCTGTTCCTAATCTGTTCATGTATTCAGCCCTATGGATCTTTATGCAAAATGTGCAAATAGCCTCTGGAGCTAGGACAGGAATTCAGTTTATCTCCCTGCCGTGGGGATGCTGGGTATGGCCATATTGCATAGAAACAGGAGTGGTAGGTCTGAAATCCCTCAGGGAGAAAAGGCTCCAGAGCCCAGATTACTCACCACTCGCCTGTGACGGAGCTGTAACAACTAGCTGCCTTGTTGACTGATTTTGAGTACATGAAGCTGGATGCCCATGGTTAGATCTTTGCTTTCCCAAATGGACAATGTGGTTGGTTTTTTAGATGATCCCTTGTTCTGGTGGTACTTGGAGTGTTAGTGATCTGAATCATTCTCTGAGGCTGAAGTAGCTAGTTCTGCCTGACTGTGGCCTTAGGCAGTTAACAGCATCTGCTCTTTCCAAGAGCTTTGCAGCTGTGTTACTTCCAACATAAGCCTGAGGTAAGTATAATTTTATTTTACAGATCAGATAAGTGGCTTGAAAAATGTTTCACAAGTTACTGTCAAGCCTGAGGTGAAAAGTCTGATGCTATGGCTCCTAGTCCTGCTTTGGAAAAATGGCATTCAACATTTAAACTGTAGTTCCGCTCTGGTCCTCTAGATTAAAGCTTTCTATGTCATCCCCCTGTGGCTCTTAATCTCAGCCATACCCATCATGCAGCTTGTATAAAAGAGGCCTTTCCATGGAGGCTTCTAAAAGCTGATCAGAAAATAGATGACAAAACTCTCTTTCCCTGAAACTGTTCTATTACTGACCTTCCAGTTCTGCTGTTCTTGGTATTGCTTTTTCTGCTTGTTCTCTGTAAAAGAAAATGGTTTGATGAGGCTTCTTTTCAGTGAGACAAATGAGCAAGCTTGGAGACAGTGGAGCTATTGAGTTCTCATCCTCAGTGCACATTTGTGCTTCCTTCTTTAGGAATGACCATGGAAGTGCTTGGGACCTTGATTGGAGCTGCGCTTCAGGGGCAGATTGTGGCCAGTGCTCATGTCTCTCATCACTGCACTGTGGATCCCCCAGCAAACACGACCGACTCCTGGCATGACACTCTCAGCTTTCCAGACCCCTCAGATCCCCTCTCTCATCAAGTAAGTGTCTGTGGGAGCATGCTAAAATCTCTTGGGGGTGGGGGGATCTGTAATACCATATCATCCAGACGGATGAGCATGAACATGACTTCCTTGAAATTAGTAACGCTGGAGCTGAGACAACAACCTCGTTGCAAACAAGGCTTCCCGTCTGTTGTCTTTGCAACCACTTCTCAGCATGACAGCAGAATTACACTGAGGAGCTTTGCTGAAGATGCCAAACTGTAAAGTAGCTAGGAGGTATATGGCTATCCCTTGTTTTCACTAGGGGCTGATTTACAGTTTAAAATACAACCTTAGTAAGAAAAGCTTACTTTACCCCGCCAGAAATACTGCATCCACTTCTGGGGTGCCCAGCACAAGAAAGACATGGACCTGTTAGATCAGGTCCAGAGGAGGACCACAAAAATGATCAGAAGGTTGGAACACCTCTCCTATGAAGAATGGCTGAGAGAGTTGGATTTGTTCAGCCTGGAGAAGAGAAGGCTCCGGGGAGACCTTATTGTGGCCTTTCAATATACAAAGGGGGCTTACAAGAAAGATGGAAAAAGACCTTTTACCAAGGCCTGTAGTGACAGGACAAGGGGCAAGGTTTTAAACTAAAGAAGAATAGATTTAGACTGGATATAAGGAAGAAATTTTTTACAATGAGGGTGGTGAGTCACTGGAACAGGTTGCCCAGAGAAGTTCTGGATGCCCTGTCCCTGGAAACATTCAAGGTCAGGTTGGACGGGGCTCTGAGTAACCTGATCTAGTGAAAGATGTCCCTGCCCATGGCAGGGGGATTGGAACTAGATGAACTTTAAAGGTCACATCCAACCCAAATAACTGTGATTCTATTAAAAAAATGGTGGCTATAGCAGGGTCTTTCAGTTCAGCAACACTACATTTCAAAGTAGTTATCACTAGGGATCTCCTGTAAAGATTAGTGGCTGTTAGGTGAACGAAACTGTTAAGTTGCCCACTTGGAATCTGTATTCTTGTGAAGGTACAAAGCACTGTTGAAAGTAAATGGTTGGTAACTGGCAATTAGTGGGAGCAGGGCTCAGTGGTTAACGTGTGGAATGAACCTAGAGTTCCATTCTTGTTTATTTCATTTTCCACAGCAGATTTTTCCTGTAATCCTGCACAAGTAATTCAATCTCTTCATGCTTCAGTTTGCTATTTTTTGAGAAACAGAGAAGGTTTTATATCTGGGATAAAATCCTAAAACCTGATCCAAACCTCAGTGAACACAATTTTATAGTCTTCCATTGTTTCCAGTGGTCTTGAAACAGGCCCCAAATCGAACAATTACCTTGTGTAGTGTTTTTTTTCTATGTCACTTGTGAAATCAGCAGTTTGCTGGTTCCATTTTACCAATTGTTACATTCAGTCTTTCTTTTTATATTTTCATCTATTTCTCTCTTGGTGCATGTACTAACTGATATATAAAATTCCCTGTGAAGATTCCTTGACCTGAGTCTAATCTCAGGTGCTTGGTTCAACTCAGGATGTTCGTATTCGTGCTCTGCTTATTGTAGTTGAATAGCTCCTATTACCACTCTTCAGCAGCAGTAAAATCACAAGCTAAAGGCATGTTTTTATGCATGCTTTGAATTTGCATAGCCTGGCACTGGCACTGGTGGTCCAGGAAGGGGACCAAGCCTTGCCTCCCACCACTCCTAGACACTATTCTCTGCCTCTGTGCTACCTGATCCTTCTTTTTTGGCACAGGTCATCGTAAGGCTTCTCAGAGAGCTGATCTGGGAAACTGTCTGGGGAGAGCTGGGCTGCTTCTGTAAGTGGCCATGCCATTTTATAGCTGATTAAAGTGTTTTTGAAGCTGCTTGTTAGGTAACTTCTAGTGTGTATTTTAACAAGACACAGAACATCATCCTGTGTTCCTTTTTAGCTTCTAGGACAATGGCTTGATGTAGAAAACTACTGTGCTATTACAGCTCTATGAATTTTCAAGAGGAGTAGCTTGAAAAGTTGTGGAGCAAGCTGAATTTCATTGTGCAGCAGATTCCCTGTCTGAATCTGCTTTATGCCATAATCACCAACTTCCACTTTCAAATCTCTTAAATGGCTTTCAAGGAAAAAAAAAACATGATCTTGATTTATTTCCTTTCTGTCTAACCTCATGTGCTTTCCTGTCCTTTTTGAGGTAGGAGGGAGGTGGAGAAAGAAGCTTCACAATGAGTTGAATGTTAAGTAGTTTTTTTATTTTGAAAAAATAGCAGATACAAAGCCTAAAATAGCCAGAGTTTGTAGGTAGAAGTAATATCTTTCATTAAACTAGCTATGAACACTGGGAAACACTGGAAAAGCTTTTAGACACACAGTTTTCAGATCTGAAGAAGTTAACAGTGTGACTGGAAACTTGTCTTTTTTTTTTCCAACTATATGGGTTGATTTAATTAAAGATATTACCTTCTTCATTTCACTTCCTTATTTATAAGCAGTCGTGTTCATTTTTTGTGAGGATTTCCTGTTTATTTGTTTTGGTCTTTGTTTTTTTCCTTCTTCCACTGTTTTGTGTCACCTTCTCAGGTTTTGTACATAAGTAGTATCCCATGGTGAGAATGGTCTGGATTATGTTGTCCAACTGTTTTCCATGGGTAAAGTTCTGTTTACTCCTTGTTCTTTCCTGCTTTTTTTTCCAAAAACTCTTCAGGCCTGTGCAGAGGCCATACTCTGAATGAACTGCTCTGGCAACCCACCTCACTCCCTGCTGCCCTGTTTTGTAAGGACCAGAATTTTTTGCCGTTTACATAACCTGGCATCAATTTTGTTGGATTATAGGAGCATGCATGGCCACCGCGCCACACAAGGGGAGCTGCTTGCAGCACATGACAGGGCGCTTGCCTTTACACCACACACAAGAGAATACACACCTAACTGCATGATCAACAGGAGATGTTGAATCTTGAATTTTGGTTGTATTACTGATAGACATTGAGTTACAAGTTGAGGCAGGACTAGGGTCTATGAACCTGAAGTACCTCCATCAATCTAAAACAAAGTATTTAGAAGAGGCTGAATCTTGACTGGTTTTTTTAGTGCCATTCAGGAGTGTGACCCCTGACCCTTTTTGTCATGAGGAGTAATTCTTAGCTGCTCAAGAGCACACCTAGTTTAAAAGAAGACCTAATGAATTAGTTTGCTCATTATTAAAGAAAGGAAGTGGAAGAAATGATTATTTCTAAGTTCTCCTGAAGTTGTTGCTGTAAGCTTAGGAGTGGATCTTTCCTACTGGAAACCAAGCATGGATATTGATATAGTTTGTAGATGGGCTACCAAGTTTTTTTTAGGGTCAGAGAATCTTATTTAGCCTACCATAAATATTCTTGATAGTTAAGCTCAAATTACACTTCACAGTGACCTGTGAAAGAAAGCATTTAATTCAATTGCTTCAAGCGAATTAACAAATAGATAGACACGAACTATAAAATTCATAATGGAATCCTGTTACTGTCCTTTTTTTCAGCCCCTTCTCTCCTGGCTAGGCTGCTTTTGAGGCTGAAATTACCTTGTTTAAGTGAATTCAGGTATCTACAATACTGCAGTCTGTAGACTGTGTGCAAGCCATAACCAACAGTATAAAAGTACCCTGTGACTTAATTTATAGCTCTGACGTAAAAAAACCCAAACCTTTATCCTAAATAAAGAATAGTCCTGCATTCCTTTATTTCAGCATGTCCCCTTCTGAAATGTAAATATCTTAACAAAAGCTGTTGTCTTGAAGGTTGTCTACGCTTACATGGTTCCTCTGACTACCTTTGCATCTATACTAAGTAACTTTATATTTGGGAGTACATTCTTGTAATTGCATGCTTATTTACCAACTGCTTCCTAGATTTATAATCATTTCATTTGCAACATACAACTGGTAATTTGGGATTCAGTTTTGCTATCAAATAATCACTGTGTCATAAAGCTCTATAACCAGCACTTATTTTATCTTTGCTAACACAGTATAAAATAAATTATTACAGAATACTAAAGCAAAATAATTTTTTAGAGCTTTATTCCAGAGTCAGTGTAATCAGAGTTAGAAACAATAAATGTGTTCTGATGGTGTGGGAGGTATCCTTGGAGGCTTTGTTCCCCTGGCTAATAAGCAGCAAAGATTTCTGAATTTGCTTGAGTATTTCACTAAGTAACTGGGAAAGCAAGCACGCAAGCTACCATATTATCAAAAAAATAGGCATGAAAGTGTGATTTCTAAAATTCATTAGAGCCTAAAGGAAGTTTTTATTATCATTATGTATAAATGCAGTAACCATTGTAATTATGTTTACATGAGTACTGAGGCCTATCCCACCCAGCATGAAGATACAGATTGCAGTCAGTGTAGCTAGGTCAACTGGATTTACTGAAAATTAGAATCACTCTACAGATGCTGCATGTTTTTGATAGATGACTGTGTATGTCTACAGGTAGTCTCAACATAAGCAAATTTTTAAAACATTCAGGTTGCCAACACAGTAGCCCTTTTGTTCACAGCTTCTTTTTTTTTTCCAAGAAATATATACTTATGTGCCCTGGATTTATCCTAAAGTAGGTGTTGTTTATAAATGAACTGCAGAAGTGAACATTTTTCAGAGAGGTAAAAGACAGATAGTTGGCTGTATGTAGATGGCCATTTCTTCATTTGCAGATGACTCACCAGAAAGGGACTGAAATTTTTATAATGGCTTGTCGTTCTCCTGTCACAATTTCAAATATGTCTTTTTTCTTTTCAAAGGCAAAAGTTTATATGATTGCAGCAGGGGTCATAGGAGGTGTGTATCTTCTTGGAATTGTCATTCTTTTTCTTGGAGTAAAGGAAAAAGATGGTAAGATATACTTAACTATGCCCAGATTTAGTAATTATTATTTCACATTCAACTCTGGAAAAGATTGTCATTTTATGTATTCTGCTCCTTTTAGATCCTTATGCCTTAAATTCAGAGAGAGCAATTCCTTTTTGTAAGGGGCTTAGACTCACCATGAAGCATGGTCCATATGGGAAGCTTGCAGCTTCATTTCTTCTCATCTCGACAGCAGTTCAGGTAACTTCAGACTCTCTGAGTCTGTGTGTTGGCCTCATTCCAGTCCCAGCATGGGAGAGTCTGCGGCAGCTAAAATGCAAATAACCTTTGGCTGGTGACTGGAGGTGGTGATCTAGGGGGTGGTGCCTTCCCCTACAAATCAGTAGGGAACCAGAGTCCTTTTTTGGTGCCTGGGGTCCTGTGCAGCTGGAGATGGTTCTTTCAAACGAGAAGCAAAACCAAAGTCCTGTCCATTTAAAGATGGGGTTTTTTTCTCATAAAAGGTGAGGAACTAGTCCTAGTGACCCAGATTGGGTCATTATATGTTATCCATCTACAGTCTCCTGTGGTTTCAGTTGCTCAGAGAATGCTTTTTCTCTTCTCTCTGTTCTTCTCTATAGTGTGTGCTGCTTTAAACCATTGCCCCTTTCCTTTGCATAGGTGGCTGTTCTCAGATAGTGGCTGAACTGGTTCTTATGGAGTCTTTTGTGATGGAAGGCATTAGGTCAGAGTAAGATGTTCAGAGGCAGGAGGTCTTAACTGTCTCAGAGCTAGATAGAGCTAATTTTCAAATGAGGACATGCAGTTGAATGTGGCTCTTGCAAAAAGATGCAATACATCCTCCCACAGAGAGAAGCTTAAAGCCACTAAGTAACCCTTACTCTCCATAGTCCAGCAGTCTTTTTAAAGCGTGATTTTTGAGCTACATTCAGCTTGGTAAATATGTTATTTTAATGTGAGCCTGTACATATCAGTTGAAGTTGGCTTTATTTTGAAAAGCAAATAATATTCACATTTTCAACAGACTCTTAGTCACATGAGCCATTGATCAGGTGGATATCAGGACAGAGGGCAAGAACAGGGCATGTAAGAGAGCAGTGCTGTGTCCACCAGCAGTCCTGGTGAATTAGTAAGTTCCTTGGAAGGGCTGCTTAAAAGTTTGTTTGCCAAAGAAGCACTGAAGGTTCCTGTTGGCCTGTATTTGGGCACAGTTAGTAGGCTGTCCTTTACAGCAACTGTCAGTCCTTGCTGGAAGGCCCAAGGGTGAGAAACAGTAGCAGAAGCACTTCTTATGTCTGGGAGCTGGAGGCACTGTGAACAACAGCAGAGGCGGGGAGAAGATGAAAGATGAATGGTCCCTTATGGTCCAGATCCTTCCAGCATCCATTCAGTCAGTAAGGATACAGCGCACATCTGGTTGCTGGCAGCCAACTACTTGCTGACAACACCCAGAGAGGAAAAGATCTTCTGTCAGTCCATATCTCTTTATTTTTCTACTGGTACAGACTGAAGGGAAGGTGTGAGGGGAGGCAGAAGCTGGAAGCTGTATCGCTCCAGTTCAGCCAGCATGAGCAATCCTTGCTATTGTTAATCAAGGGAGAAGCACTGCTTTCATGGAATTGAGTGGATTCCTGGTGAGCAAAGGAATAGGCAGATAAAGATGCATTTCCCATAATCCCAGAGCGTGATATTCTACATCTAAAATGAAGGCAGCGTAAACTGGGACGCAAGCTAGGGAAGGCTTTGGTGGCAATGGAGAAGGGATATAACTTTTATCCTAATTTGTATACAGATGATTGGCCACTTAAAATCTACAAGTGCACAAAGGAACAAGAGTTGACCATACTGCTGTGGCATGAATATTAAATCCTCCTCTGTCATTCCACTTCTGCAGAATTGCTGGAGCTGGGCCTGAACCATATCCTGGTGTTCAGAACTCCCTTGAGTTCTGCAAAAGCGTGGTGGCAGTGGCTTCATCTGTTATTATAACACAGTCAGCTAGATCCTCCCATCCAATGAGTACCGAGACTTGTGGAGATATCTAACCCAAAGCTACACTCCACAGCCAAGGTTGTATACAAACCCAGCAGTTAGCTGCTTTACTACAGGAAATTGGCATGAGTGTAATTCCAGCTGAAGAGTAACTTGTTGTGGAGTCAGAGCTTCTGGTGGAAGATCTATGGCATTGCTATGGAAAAGGAAGGGCAATTTCTTGCAGTAGTCTGCAGCTGTGGCTGTGACAACACGACAAGGCAATTGCAACATAGGGAATAAAGCCTTTAGACAGAATCGTCTCATAAGGCATTTCCTGTTTTGGTCATTTTTATGCTGTATTAGGTGCATGGTTTACCTCTTGCTTTCCCCAATATCATTGGCATGTTATCCCAGTGATAGCAGGAGAGTTATTGCTTCTTTAAATTGTTGCAAAAAGGGAAGAATGTGACTCCCAAAACCTACATTTAACAAATCAGTCACCAACTATGTTTGGCTAGTATGGAGTGTGACATTATTTTTGTCTTTTTTAATTTTCCTTTCTTTTTTGGTTGTCACCAAATGTCTTCAACAGCTGGAGCAGAGCAACTTTGTCCTATTCTGCACTCATGCTGCTAATCTTCGCAATCACTTCCAGTATTTGGTGGTGACCATCTTGGTGAGTTGCACTTCTCTCCCATATTTTTATTTGATAGCTGGTTCTCACTGGGTTTTGGCACAAAACAACAGAAGACAAGAAGAGTTTTGTGTCTAGACAGAGCTGTTAAGAAGCTACACCTTCTTTTGCATTGCCTGTTTGAAATAAAGCTGGTGTGCCCTACTGTACTTATAAAAAATTAATGCTTTGGAGATTTTAATTCATTCCTTGTTGCTTTTACCTGTAAGTCACTTTCTGCTCCTATAAAGGGCAAAAGCTGCTGCCAGAAAGGAAGTCTGGAATTTTAGCTCCTTTTTCCCTTTCCCCAGTCTGATATGCTGAAAATTAAACAACTTTAATTGATGTATTCATACATATGAGCCTTCTGGGCTAGGCAGCTTGCAAGGATAAATATTTAAAATATCCAGAGATATGAAGATTCCTCTCTGGAGCAATTCGCAGTGTGATAAAAAGATCCTTTTACAGAACCTTTTTTCTTGACAGACAGAGGTAGAATTCTGCTTGCTTATGTGAATCTTATAACTCAGTTACACACTGCTCCGTATTGCATGATTTACTTTATGATTACAAGTACTATTAGTTGAAAACTGCCACTTCCATCCTTCTGACAAAAGTCCTTTTAACACAAGTAGAACATTTAATGTTGCATAATTGCTGGGATGTGCATGTACTGCACTTCTGAAATATTTTGTAGAGAATTTGTCTACCATATAGACTACTGCAGCAGTCATTTTCAGGGAAGCTGTTGCATGATTTCTGACCCATTTGGCACAGAGATTTTGTGGAACCATCGTAGGGGTTCATTTCCACTTCTTGGTCGCAGCCTCCCACCCTTTCTATCCCTTTTTGATTCTTCCTTTCCCACATTATAAGACAGATCTTTTCCAATGATTAAAACCAAAATGTTGAAGAGCAAAGGATGACTGTTGCATATCTTAAAGCTCTGCAACTAATGGACACCAAGAAGAGAGAGAGACAAGAGACAGTGGAGTTAAAGTCAGTAAAGAATGGAATATAACTGTAACAATGAGATGACATTTGAATTTAGGTCAATTGTAAGGCTGTCATTAGTAGCAATACTTCAGTGCATTGGTACTATGTTGTCTGTGGTTGTTGCTGCTACCAGGTGAGTATTACAGCATATGAAAAGGTAATGTTGACTGTAAGCGACTATTTCTCTTACAGGTTATTCCTAAGAATAAACATGTAGTATGGGATATGTACTCTAAGTATATCTTAAGATAAGTGTATCTTGCACTTCAGCTTTCTTCCTGTATGATGGGTAGAGCTTAATTCACATCGTTTGTCAGGTTCAGATAATGAGGCAAAAGGCATTAGCACTAAGTACGATTATTTGCAGTATGTTTGAACTCTAATGACTGTGTCATGTATAGCTTTAACTTCTATGGCTTACATTAGGAAAAGGAAGTTTTAGGACACTGCCTTCTGATGTCTGACTGTGGAAAACCCTCTCCTGGATAGCTTTTGTGTGTAACATGTAATAGTAAATAAAAAAAATCACTCAAAAGATGAGGAGAAACAGGAATCTGCAAGTTCACCTTTCTTTCAGACCATAATGTGCTAGACAAAAAGATGTCTGTGAGCTCTACAGCCAAAGAAGACAGTGGCAGTAAGCACAGTACAGATGTGGATTTTTGTCAATTGTAGGTATCAGCAGCTGTGAGCATTCCCTTCTGGCAGAAGTTTCTGCAGCGATTTGGCAAGAAGTGTGCAGCATGTGGGATTTCGGTAAGCAAGTCCTTTGAGAAAAAATCTGCTTGTGCTCACTTCATTTGACAACTGGAGCGACTTCAGGAGCCCTTTCAAGTGCTTATAACCTCAAGCTACATGAAATTTGCTCAGTTTCAGAGTTTGTTTTAAATCGTTATACCAAATTTCAGACAGATTCCAAGTTTCCAAGAGAAACTTTTGAGAAATGGATTGATGATGAAGGGAGGTCCCAGTTTATTTAAGAATCTGCACAAGCTCTGCATTTGACTGCTCTCAGAAGTGAATCCCAATGAGGTTTTATAAATTCAGATCTGCATGGCATGAGGTTGACAAGTTATCCATTGTACAAGGCTTGTTTTGTCTTTGTATATGGTGCTGAGTTGACCGCATCTGTAATTCAGTCACACAGGAGGAAACAGAAGTCTGTTACACATCCTTCTCTAGAAACGTAAGAAGGCAGGGGTGCCCACATCCCTCTGAAGCAAGATGGACAGTTATTAGTGAAGAAATAGATGACTACCTGAGAAAAGAAGCCTGGTTTAACTTTGACACAGCTCTGCAAAGCCAGCTCAGCAAGCTGCCCTCGTCTCTGATGGATTATTTTAAATCCTTCACTTAGTGCAGGCAGCAGCAATTTTCTGTCATCATCCTCAGTGAGTCATTGTATAGGCCTGTTCCTCCCCATTTTTCCCCTGTTTACCTTCAATTACTTATGAAAGAGGAAAGAAAAATTGTCTGCCTTGTGCACAACAAAGCACGAGGACTTGGAAAATCCAGCCTGAAGCTATATGTCAAAATCTGAACAAAGCTGAAAAGTTTAGGTCTGGTGACAACTGTTGAATATAATTGAACAGTTATAATTTTTGGAATTAAAATTTGTGTGTTGGAATGACTTCCAAAGAACCAGAAGTAACTTTAAAACCAAGTTCCAAATATGCTGAATTGTTATGTGTTTTGAAGTAGGCATCTGGAATCCAAGTCCCATCCTCATTTCTTTTTACCGCTTGAGCAAAGAGAATTGCCAAAAGCAGTATTGGACCATTGACTGGACCAGGGAATGCAGATTTCCTCCTTAGGAAATCTCCTCCTCTGTCTACTTGGCTACGAAAAATGCTTTCTTCAACGAACTTGGCTCTATAAATTTCGTTTAACATGACTGGAAAGCCTGTCAGCACCTCTGTAAACATGGTTTAACTTAATTTTACAGTTGAGTTGCTTGACTGTATTATGGTCTAAGTGGGGGCTGGATTGAAAAAAAGCCACCTCTTTATTTCACCTTGTAGGCATTTCTCAAGGGACTCAATGTGTGCTCAGTGATGGATTTTGTGTCTAGCAGTGCATCACAGGGGCTTCCTATACCACCACCTTGTGTGATCTGTACAACTAATCTGTTCTCTCTCACTGTGAAAGAAAATCACATCATTTAAGGCTCCTATGTTTGTCATTGGGAAATGTTCTTCTGGAAGGGAAGGAGACAGGAGAGAAAACAAGTTTTTTTTCTCCAAAACCTTACTCAGCTTTCAGAATGAAGATGTAATTTGAAATTCAGTTTCCTGAAAAAAATTTCACGCTGCTCCAGACTAATTTTTCCTGTTAAAGTGGTTCTATGTTGAAGAGACCCCTGAAAGAGTATAGAAGGCAGGGTAGGTAGATAAGCAATAAGAATCTTGGCTTCCTTCCACTGATATTTCTCCCTTTTTACTCATTCCTCCACAAGAGATGACCAACAGTCTAAGTACTGACTAAGTGTCTAAACTTCCTAGAAGTTTAAAGCCTAGACTTTCTGGAAGTACAGGGTCATACCCAAGCAGGATCCTTGACAGCATTCTTCCCATGATCAGGTTGGTGCACAGTGCAGGCTAGAAATTATTCTCTTCTGTTTATTTGCTGCTTCTTCCACGTGCTATGTTCATTTAGATTGTCTGCTCTGCCCTCACGGGGCAAATGTTGAACTTACAATCAGTAAGTCTCTCAGCTGGTGACTGGAGGTGAAGTTGTCATGAGAAATCTTAAGTGTGGGAGCCTGTTTGTTCATGGTTTTGGCAAGGTATCTAAAAGCGGAAGATCGCTCGCTCTCACAACTCAAGCTTCCGTCCTAGTCAATAATAGCTTTTGGCTGTGAGTTTTGGAGGATTTAGTAAAAAATAAAAACATTTCCAAAAATACCCCCAATCTTTTGACCTCCCCACATACACGCAATTGTTTATTTGCCATCTGTCAGCACTGTGCAGCATGGAGGTATGCCCTTGGATGAATCCTAGCTGTGCACTTTTCCCTTTTCCACTCTCCCACCCCCTTTTCCACTCACATCCTAGCTGCACCTTTTCCTGATTTGCCTTTCATAATGTGCTGCTGTACAGGATCGTACCACCTTTAGCATCCCAGTAGGTTGTCCTTCCGTAGTGCTGTCAGGGAATGGATTGAAGACACGTGATAACTCTAGGATATCCTTTATGACTCGGAGGGCAGCAGCCCTGTGACTAGGGATCAGGGTGCCAATAACAGAGCATTTGCTTTACAAGTAGGAAAGGAGATGCATTAGCTGTTTATTGCAGCAAGAACACTGCCCCCATGATTGCACTACCATTGCATGACTGAGACTTCAGGGCATTGTAGCCTCAGTCCTGTGGGCCATGCTTCTCTTTCAGTAGAAAATTACAGTTACAATGATTATTATTATCGATCTAGAATTTTGTTTAAGTGCTTTGGTTTCTGAGTGGGTGCCCCATGTGGAGCATAAGGCAGTCATAAAATTGCTTATAGGCAACATAAAATCTTGTATTGCTGGAGTGCTCTCTTGTGGTGAAATAACAATTTTGCCACAACATTGGACTAATGCGAGGATTATCTGTCGGTGCTGGGAAGCTGCAGTCAGGAAAGGTTATTTTCTGCCTCCTTAGGTTAGAAGCAAATGCTTTAGATGGGAAATGCATTTAAACATAAATATAATGGATTAGACTCCAGGACTCCCAGAATCACCTATCATACAGAACTGTAAATAGCAGTGCTTAAGGGAATCACTCTCTGTGAAAGCTCTTCTCATACCCTCAGCTCCCAAGCTGCAAGTATAGAGGATTGAAACACTTACTGTTAAACTAATCCCCCATCATTAAAAAGCCCTGTAGATAAGCCCCTGGTTCTGGATTCTACATGTGCTGTGCCCATGTTTCACAGGCATGGGAGATGGAGCATGTGATGGGTACGGGAAGCTGGTCTGTATGCATTCAGTCAGCATTTAAAATAGGGGATTTTCAATCCTATAAGCCCATTGCTTCAAGCTGAAGTTGAGGAAATCTGGTGGGTTTAAGTACTGCCAGAAAACAAATCCTGAGCATCCCGAATTAGTTTCATTTTGAGGGTAGCCTTAGTGACTTTTGCAATGCCGTGAGCGTACCTGGCTGTGCGGAGTGGGAGTAAACCACACTGCCTTCTTGGATTTAGTTATTGCCAAGTACCTAGATTGCTTTAAAGTGGTCATTGGAAATGAAGGTGTGAGCAAATTCTTCTTCATTCAAGGCTCAAGATGATCTGTGAAATGGAATATTTACAGTTTAAAATGAGCACTGAACCCCTGCCTCTCCCCTTGAAATGCAGTGTGATGATGTTTCAAGGCTTTGTCTCTAATCGTAAATTAAACAGTTCCACTGGCATAGAATAGAAAATGGTCTTTGGTCATCTCTGTTACTAAATTGGCAGAAAAATCTTAGCACAAGCTGATTAGCAATCTCCCAAGAAGTATCTGGACACAGTTTGGGAACTAGCACACTTAAGGGCTCTTCACAAAAAGTATTTATATGGCCAGACTTCTTTTGGAGACTATGAATGTTTAGGAGTATGACTGTGGCCAGGGTCTGCCAGTTGGCCTCGTGACTGTTAAATAGGCTCTTGGGACTGTTTAATTTACTAGTATAGTTATAGCCCTAATACTGCTAACAGAGAAGGCACTATCCATGGCTTGTCCTATGTTTCTCTGGTTCTTCTGGATAGATAAATACAGATCTGCTCAGGGCTATTTGGAAATGCCATTTCACCAGACTACTGATGTGTTAGGCGTTGCTGTGCATGAACTCTTTCATAACACAATCTTACATTTTTAAGGGAACAATCTGTAAACCATTGAGCAGTGCATACTGTGAGTTAGATGTACTGTTTTTCTTCTTCCTCAGTGGATGATTCCTTTTGCGTTCATGCTAGTGACCATTCCAAACCTGATCCTGGCTTACTTCGTGGCCTTCGTCTCTGGTCTGAGCATTGCAGCATCTAATCTGTTGCCATGGTAGGAGAATTTCACATTTGAGGTGGGGAAGGGCTATATGTCTACATTACATTTGGGTACTACCGCATGGAATTAGTGTCCGAAAGAGGCAGAATTTGGCAAGAGTCACTTCTTTCAAGAATCTTTTTCTGCTTTTATAATACAGGCTATTTGCAATGACACAATTTTGTTTGTCCTGCTGTTAACAGATTATGTCTACTGTAACTGTAGTTGCTCTTTGCACATAAGAGTATGCAGATGAATCAATAATCTAAGTAGCTATAGAACTTGTGATAACAGTAAATCAGTTGCTTAGGTTTGGTTTCTAACAGAACTACAGGAATGATGAAGTTAGATAAATCAGTAAATGCTGAGCAATTAAGAACATAGCAGAGGAAACAAGCTAAGCTATGTATCCCTGCTTGAGCAGTCCTCTGTTATAAATCAAATAACACAAGGATATGATTAAAAGAAACTGAGAATTCAAGGTCCTTTGCTCTTGAGGACTGAAAATATGCGGGGAAAAAACTACTCAAGGATGAGCAGAATGGGTCATTTCCTCTCCAGAGCGAAAAATTATTATTCAGGTCAAATTGACCAGAAAGCAAGACCATTGCTGAGAGCGCTGTTTTGCATTACTCATTTGTACAATACCCTGAAAACTCTAAGAGATCAAGGAAAAGTAGTTTGAAATAAGCTGTCAGACTACATAAGCTTTTCTGCTCAGAGGGTGAGAAGCCCTTTTCTCTAACAGTAAATCATTACATATATTGTAAATAAAATGCCAATTCACAGCTGACATTTGAGCAGCTTCCATTCTGATTCCCCGTTACCAAATTCAGTCTTTTTGAAGTAGAGGGAGAATAGACCTCATTGGTTTCTGAAAATTTTGTTAGCTTGTCAAAAAAGTTATTTCAGACTGAAACTATTCAGAGATTTAGAGTCCCTTGAAATCTTAAGAAATGTGGAGGTTTGTTGTTCTTTTTTTAATATCACAACTTCTGATTGGAATGACAGCCAGTCTAAAGAATTCTGTCACCTCCCAGCAAGTGTTTGATAGTTTTTCCATGGTTTTCTACTTTGTAATATGTGGCCATGCATTTCTTACATGGATTTTTGCCCTCCTGTCCAGCAGTAGGACTTTTTGAACTGGATTCTTTCATGTGCATGACTACATCAATCAGATCTTAAAAAAGGAGGACGGGTGTACTCTTTCAGTAAGTTTGGACTTTGAGAAGAGATTTTGGCTTACGTTTTTCTTTTATGTTGTTTGTCTCTAGGTCAATGCTGCCTGATGTTGTTGATAACTTTCGCCTGCAGAATCCTCATGGAAAAGGACATGAAACCATTTTCTATTCTTCTTATATTTTCTTCACCAAGATGTCAGCATGAATTGGCTTAGGAATTTCTGCAGCAGGACTGGAGTAAGTAACACTGTGTTTCCACTTACTGGATCTACTCTGAAAGCATTCTGAGGTTACTCTGCCTTGACCATGTGGAGTTAATTGCCTTTTTGCCCTGAGCTTGAAAGTGCCAGCAGCTCCAGATGGCTGACCACTAAAGACAGGATTGTTATCATCTAGGCCAGACCACTGAGCATTAAGTCGCCTGCCCTAATATATTTCAGTTCAGAAAGACCTGACTTCCCTTTAGATTTTCCTCTTTCCAAATTAAACATGTAAATTTTGGTGGCTTATATGAATGAAAAACTAAACATGAAAGCTCAGCAGATGAAGGTCCCCCACAAGTGATACAGCTGCTTTGTGCATTCCCTGTTGCATCTGGGTTGGACTATGTATACGAGCTTGTAAGTCTTCACATGGATTGGAGTGTGTTACATTTCAGGGGTGCGTAGCGGCCTGTTCAGCGTAAAAGGGTCACCAATTGCTGCATGACCTAGCAGAAAGGGCCTTTGCCTGTAGCTGCTACAGCACACAAGCACACAATAAACGCTTAGAAAGGGAACGTCTCTGAAATACTATCTAGCCCTTGGCTCCAAGGTAGGTTTTGGTAACCAGAATGTTTTGCTTCAGGGCCTTCAGCTGAAACTGCTAAATAACAGGCAGTGAGTGCTTCAGTGCTTGGCTGAACATTTTGGGCTTAGGAATTTTAGGTGCTTACTGCTAACACCTTCAGACAAATTGCTGTTCACCAATTAGCCCCTTTTCAACTGCATTACAGTTAGCTCCCAGCAATTTGCCAAGGCTGATGTTTTGGGAGAACACAGAAGACAGAGTGATGCCAAATGAGCTGTAGCTTTCATAGGTGCATGTTCAGAGGAAAATAAACTCGTTCTGCAAATTGGGAATGGGAATTTGAGTGTATCAGCAGTTGTGGGACTGCATGGAAGCCCTGAATCAATGAACCGTAAGTGTGTACCTAACTCTAAGCACTTGAGTAAATTTGTCTATCTTGAGAAGAGTGCTTAAGTGTGTGTTTAATTTAAAGTTAATTATTGCTGTTGAAATTGGCCAGATTACTTGCATACTTTTAAAGCAGAGCCTAAATACTTTGCTGAATATTAATAGGAAACACATAACAGATCCATTTCCTTACATGGGAATCCATGCTCCTCTTATAGTTGAATGTTATATAATAATAATGAGAAAATACAGAGGTAATTCAGTTATCTGAAATCGAGCACAAAAATGAGATTTGAAAAACAAGATTTGAAACATGTAGTGGGGGGAAAGGAAAAAAGAGAGGTGTAGGAAAAATGGGAGAAAAGTCTTGAAGAGTGTTGGGGGAAAGAAGGGAGCCTTCAGATGAGCAACTGCCTTTTAGCTTTGGACATACACACACCACTGTTATTTCCATTTGTTTAGGTTTGCGGGATACAAGCCAGGGATATGCAGACAATCCAACAATGTGATCCTCACACTGAAAATCCTCATTGGAGTGGTCCCTGCTATCCTCATCATTGTAGGTTTATTTATACTTCTTTTCTACCCAATTACTGAAGAAAGTCGGCAAGAAACAAAGCTTGCACTTGAAGTGTTAAGGTAGGTTTGAACTGGCAGCAAACAGCAGTAACATCACCGCAGCAGCTCTTAGTCATACTGGGCAAAAAATTATTAGCTACCAACATACACCTCTATATTCCTTACCAGAAGACAAAACAATGCTTTGTTAGTTGAATTATTAACTGAATGGTACCATTACATGTTCCAGTATCTTATTTTTGTAGTGCAGTACTACCTGCTTAGAGGACCATTTATCAGATATATCAGCTGCTATATTTTACTTTTTCTCTGGGGTGGTGCACAAAGCGCTATTGTGGTACAGTGTTTCAAGCCAGAAATGAAGAATATTCTACACAGATTAAATTTCTGGAGAAAAGTGAATAGTTACAATTTACTTGTATATAGAAGAAAATGGGATTCTTGACTGAATTCTTGGTGTTTATGGCATATAAGAAACATCCAAACCATTTAAAGGCGTAGGCAGGAAAGATCGTGGGAGAAAAAGAAAGGGCAGCTTTGAGACGTTCTTTCTCTCTTTGCCCTATCACTCTCCCTTCCTCCCTTTTCCTCCCTCTCCAAAGAAAACCTTGCCTAGCTCGAAATCATCCACCTCTGTCAAATGAAGCCTTGGTATACTGAGGACATACATAAGAACAGTCTATCCTAGCAAATTGATGCATTAAATATCAAAATATGTTGTTGCTCTGTCTCATTTTTATTATCCCAAGTTACTGGAGTTGGAAATTGATTTCATAGAATCATAGAATCGTTTAGGTTGGAAAAGACCTTTAAGATCATCCAGCCCAACTATTAACCTAACATTACCAAGCCCACACTAAACCAGTTAAGGGTAGACTAGACTAAACCATGTCCCAGAGTGTCACGTCTACTCATTTTTTGAATGCTTCCAGGGATGGTGGCTCCACCACCTCTCTGGGCAGCCTCTTCCAATGCTTGACCACCCTTTCCGTGAAGAAATTTTTCCTAATTTCCAATCTAAACCTCCCCTAGCGCAGCTTGAGCCCATTTCCTCTCGTCCTATCACTAACTACGTGGGAGAAGAGACCAACACCCACCTCACTACAACCTCCTTTCAGGTAGTTGTAGAGAGCGATAAGGTCTCCCCTCAGCCTCCTCTTCTCCAGGCTAAACAACCCCAGTTCCCTCAGCCGCTCCTCATAAGGCCTGTGCTCCAGACCCTTCACCAGCCTTGTTGCCCTTCTCTGGACACGCTCCAGCACCTCAATGTCTTTCTTGTAGTGAGGGGCCCAAAACTGGACACAGTATTCCAGGTGTGGCCTCACCAGCGCAGAGTACAGGGGCACAATCACCTCCCTCTCCTGCTGGCCACACTATTCCTGACACAAGCCAGGATGCTGTTGGCCGCCTTGGCCACCTGGGCACACTGCTGGCTCATGTTCAGCCGGCTGTCTACCAGCACCCGCAGGTCCTTGCTAAAGGATCAGTTCCAGGGCCTAAGCATGGGTATCTGGGACCAGTTCATTGCCCTAAGGTGTCTAAGATACCTGCCTAGGGTTGGCAGATACGACACAGGCCTTGCATGCCCCAGCTGCTTTCTTGAGTGGCAGCTGCAGACCACAGGGGACAGGCTAAACAATCTAAAATGGTCCCTCTGTTTAGGTACTCCAGTCACTGTCCATGACAATCACACCTTGCTGGTGGTTGAGTTTGCTTGATTAGTTAGCAATAAAAGCCAGAAGTCTGTTCACATATCATTTGTTCTGCTTTTAACAGGAGGAGCCATCAAAGCACAGAGAACCTGGATGACCATAAAGAGGACATCTCGGTCTGAAAGCTCTGAATACAATGACTTTCCAAATACAGTCTCACACCCACGCACAAACTCTGTGAGAGTCTTCCAGGTCATTTCTCTGCCCACATTTTGTCAAAAAGGATAAAGGATGATTCCGACACAGTCAGTAATGACATCAAGAGAGGACACCACCGTGCAAAATATATATCTAACTCCATGCACTGCACTAAAAAAGAAATTAGAAATGTTCAGGAATGTAAGCTATTGAAGGCTTGGGGATTTTTTGTTTCTTTCTCAGTGGTTAACAGAAAGCTGTGATCTCATTGCAACAGGAGATTCTATGGACTTGTAAGTCAAGGGAAAAAAGTGTAAATGTGATGCGCCACCCAAATTTTAACTCATGTGATATATTTCACCCTTAGAGGCTGGGTGGATTTTGAACATAATCTTTACCTATAAATTGCACACTAGTATGTTTGGAAAGCACTTGGGAATCCTGAAGTATACTATATAAGGTTAGGATTTACTTTATTTTGAAATGAAGCAAATCACTGATGCAGATATGTTTTGAGGATTTTCTCACAAAGTTTTTCTGAAAGAGATTTTGATGTAATTTAACTTTATAGATTTTATATGAAACAGAACCTTACATTTCCCATTACTGGAGTTCCTTGCTTCTGACACCTGTAAACTGATCTTCGTCAGAGAATGAGTACTTATTTTCAGAAACAACGTCTCCACTCTGCATACCCAAAGTCAGTAGTCCCTTCCAAAAATTGGACTATACTATTCAAATTTCTGTAAAGTTTGGCCTTTAAGTAATCATGATACTCACCCATTTCTCATGTGGTGTAGGCTCTCTGCCTCACAAAACACCATGGCATGGCTGTTAGTCTCAGCTTGCACACCGTGTTTGATAATAATGAGGCTACACCTGACTTTTAAATGGTGATTTTTTTTTCAGTCAGGGATGTCATCATGCTTTAGATACATTAACTGAAACCTCATTTCTACTATAGATTCACACCGCTGAACACATTTTGCAGATGAAAGACACAGCTAACCTCAGGCACTTTCTGGAGCACTGAAGTTCAGACGTGGTCATTCTGGGCTTCTGTAGTCAGTGGAGATACAGAGATCTCCAGAAGCTGACTCAAAGCTTAAGCCAAAATGACTGGACTCTGAAGACATATCTAAATCAGGAGGGGAGAGTGATGAATCCAGGAGTTGAAGGTTTGCTTGCCTTGAAGAAATTAGCACAATGCAAGACAAGATATGAATTTACGGCCCACTGGCCTCACTGTATGAATATGTGGGAGGGTGCCTTTATTTTGTCCTAGAAGTGCCTTTGGAGGACTGGCTTCCCTTGGGAGCACTTGCAGTAGGTGTCACTGGAGGCAGTGACCACAAGTAATTTTCTCAGGGCCATCTGGGAGGTGACTTACAGTGCTGGAGCTGGAAACGGGGAAAGCTTTTACTGAAAGACACTCTGAAATAAAATCAGGTCATACACCGAGTGTCTCATTAAGTTTAATACTGAAACCTTTTCAGGCAAGTTTGAAGTCTAGGGCCTAATGAACTGTCCTAATTCAGCTAAATGCTTAATCATGAGTGAGCTTTTAAGGATGTATTTTGAGTGTGCATGGGTAAGAGTTAGCTGTGTTTAAGACTTCTGTTGAATTGACATCTAAGGCTGGGGTTTTTTTTGTTTTGGTTCTTGGACAAATCAAGATTTGTATGCCTGGGGCATATGTGTTTACAATAGTAAAAACCATATGCCTGTTTACAATTTTGAGTCTGATGGAATTTGAAATAGCAGATTTACTGCATTTTGAAGTAGGTAAGTTATGTAGAAATATCACATAGCTCCAAAACATCATAGAAAACAGTTTTGGGGGTTTGATTATTCTGTAATATTTGTGTATTTCTGAATAGTTGTCTTTAAAAACAATCAGAAGTCCTAGTAAAGGCTGTTAATGTTTTTTCATGGGCTATGTTTTCAGCTGCTATAAATCTGTAGCTACAAGGCAGTGGATCCATGTCAGTTTACATAAGCCGAATACTTCGCCCAGTGATAAAAGGGTTGCAGACACTGCTGGCTGTGGTTGATTGGAGTAATTTGAATGTGGCTTAAGATATTATTTCTAGATCAGTTGTGCACTTGCCTCTAAACTGCACAACACCCAATCTGAATTCAGTTTCTTGCAAGGTAAACTTAGTTGATTGTAAACTGTTTTCCTCTTCTCCAGAGAGACCACGGGATATTTATCTAACAGAGATGTACTCAGTCCTCACTTTGCATATGGTAGCAATATTGGGAACTGCCAAAATAAAATAGAAAGCTTCCGTAGATGAATGCAGCAGAGTATTTTTATATTTTGAAAATCTCATTATTTTATTTGATTATCAGTTGTACTTTTGTTAAGAAATTGAATGTATTTTTGTAAGTAAAAAGAATGGAAGAGTTAAGTCAGGGTGAGATCTTTCTTTGCAATTTTCTTTTTTCACAACTCGGTGTTGGTGCTATAAAATGAATGAACTTTGTATGTCTCCTTGTCAGTTTTAAATGATGTGTATGCTGTATGTACGTTCAGAACATGTGACTGAAAGAAGCAGATTCTTATATTGACAGCCATTCAGATTAAACGCTAATCTAATGTAAACCTCCTGCCTTGCACTGATTGGCACTAACAAGGGCCAGGTTCAATCCCCAGCGGCTCTCATTCCAGTAATACCCAAATACAGTCAAAAGAGTATGGGAGATTGGGTTAAACCAGCTCGGTGCCTAATGGACAGCACCTCCCCACCTGCATGCAAGCAGTTCCAACAAATGGATTTACACAAATAGGGGAAGAAAAGGACGACGGAGTTACGTGTCACCGGGTAGTCCCCCATAAGGCAAACCATGCCCGTTCCTTGCCCTTGCTGAAGTACGGTGATGGCAGCCCAAACCTGCTATGCTGGACTGATTGCTGGTGAGGTCAGCAGCTGAGATACTCACCAGTCTTCTCTTCCAGTTTCACTCTCCTCGTAGTTTCTGCCTGAAAATAATGTTGAAACCTTCCAAGGCTATACCGCCTTCCTGAGTGCTACTGCTGGTGACCAGTCTCACCGCAGGTCACAGCTAGCCACGTGGGCAAGCTGCCGGTCCCCAGTGGGCACTGAGGGAGGGCGTTGCTGTTAGCCACCGCCACCGGCCGTGTCTCCCGCTAACCACGTTCTCCCGCCTTGCTGTACCCTGTCTGCCCCTGAGCTTGCTGACCTGCCACGGCTTAGGTGGATTCGATTGCTTGTGCTGAGCCCCCCACTTCAACAGGTGAGTGCCACCTCGGACGTCTGTCCCTGGGGAGTCCCTGAAGGCTGGGACCTTCAGTGTCAGGTCACTGGGTTTTCAGGAAGGGCTCTGTAGATTTGAGTTCCAATTCCTTAAGTCACTCCTGCATCTTAGAAGAATCGCTGCTAGGTACAATCCCAGCTGCAGCCTCTCGTCTCTATTCACCTTCTGCATTCCAAGTAAAGTAGTTGAAGTGGACAATGTTTTAAAACCAAACACTGCTTTTTGGGGTTCATAGTTTGTTTCTAAATATCACTCGTTCATCTCCTTTTCTACTTGCATTTCTGGGCTGTAGATAGAAAATGCAAAATTAAATCAACCTTCTCGAGAGGAGGAGTTTCCTTAAGGGAAACTCAGGTCCTTTAAGACCTGGTATTTGTTGTCCAGCTCTTTGAAGACGAGGAAGAGAAGGCAAGTTAGTTCAAAGTCTCATGCAGTAGGGTACAGCCAGAAGCAGTCTAGTGTATAGCGGTCAATCCCATACCTCGTATGAATTTCATATCATAGTTACGTAAAAAACGGAGTTAGGTAAAAAAAAAAAAAAGGCTTAAAGTGTTACAATAGAGTCTTTCCCTTCAGAAAACTTCCAGACTGATTGATGGGAAGGTCCGTTGGCTTCATACAACTGGCAGGTGAGGGAGTGAGGGTTTTTTCCTGCAGTTTTTGAGATCACAAGTTCCTCATGTTGCACTGAATGCTTTTTTTTTACCTTAACTCTCTGCAAGACCATGGTTCAGATACCTAGCAAGAGTGCTGAGTATTATGGTTTCAAAAATGTGTGCATGTTATAGGCTTAAAGTATGAAATCAGATAGCTTTCACATCATTAAGCACCAAATCTGCTGCATAAAACAGATGCTAACTCACTGGGAAGCTTCATTCGAAAGACAAAGCAGCAGCATGTGTCTGTCCCTGAGGCAGAGGAGGAGACTTTTTGCTATGTTGCACCTGAGAATTTACCGTCTCTGAAGACGCAAACTGGCACGACACAGAGCTGAACAAACAGCGGAGGGAGAGTGGTCCTAGAGCCGTGGCACTCTGCAGAAAAGGTGGGTCCTCAGTATCACGTCAGAGACGTTTACAGAGCAGCAGTCGCTAACCCTAGCTGGAGAGCAGCGGTGCTGTTGGATGGTGGGGAAACGTGAATGTTTGCTCTAGAAGTGTGGAAGCAGAAATAAATCTTATTTCGTGATCCACTTCTTGTCCCGAATGGTGTTAGACAAGACTATGAATTTCAGCTATGCCCTCTGGCACTCTGTCCTCATTTTTGCTGCACTCTGCAGTGGGTGGTTGAGGAAGGATTGCTCAGGCCCTGTGGAACTGATGGCCACTTCCTCAGCTTCACCCGTTGGAGGGACACTTCGGAGACCCAGCACCCATCCCCTGCCAGCTCATCTTTGCTGATGTATGTGGAATCATCTACATTCAGCAAAGGATCAAAAGGATTTCCTTTGCATCTTAATATTCTCCATCATGGACTTTCACCTCTGTTTTACCTAGAGGATGTTTTCACCTGCCTCGGGTCAGCTCAGGCCACCAGCTTGTCATCATGATGATGGAACCAGACTTACAATGGCTGAGAAGTTTATTTCTGAGTCAGCTGCAGCCCATGAGGAAGTATTCCCCTTGTGTTTCCAAAACACACTCACCCTTTGGTCACCTTCAACATCATTGAGAAGAATCTGCACATTTGCCACATCGGCAGC